TGCCAAGGAATGTTCGACCCGCTTATATGTTCGGCTCGCTTATAAGGCACGTTAATCATTATCGATTAGGGTGATATGACCCATTGTAGAAGATATTGACCTTACGCAGCCACTTTCGGAAGGAGCACCTACCGAAGTCGAAGCCATGATTACAACAAGGCTTAGATGGGCAGTTATCATAAGACAATCCGGCAACCGTCCCCCGGGAGCTGACATTTCCGGTCTGTTCGACCGTCGGGCTCTCGTCAGACGATTCAACATCTGGATCGGAGGTTTGATTGCTCGCCCTTCGGCAAACAAATGTATGCAGTCAGCCTGCACCTTTTAATATATCAAACCATATCCTTCGCAGCTGACTCGCTGCTAATATGCTAGCTAGTTGAGTCCTTTTCCGCTTTCTTCACGCCGAATTCACATTTTTTTCGGGCCTCACGGTTGCAGCTCACCCAGAAACCCCAGTGTTTTAAGTCTTTGATCCCGGAGATATCTTAAAACGCACGGGCAGGTGTACAGGATTATCATAATCTGGGCTGAAAAATGTGCCCGATTTATCTCCGACCTCAATTTGTCGATTGCCTTGAGCCCATCCTCGCGATGTACACTGCCGCTTGTCAGTCCGAGTCCCAAACCCGATTTCATGTCGTCAACTGCAAATCTTGGACTTGGGTGATTGAAATTTGGAAACGCAGTTCTGAAACCCGGTGGTTTAAAGCCCTCTCGCTTTCCGGAAAAGGGTCCCCAGATCACAGGCGGCAAAATTGACTAATCGACCGCAAGCTTGCTCATGTTCATCCCGTCTCCCAATTCTTTCAACCCCTCTCCCTTCCTGTTTTCTTAATTTCCGAAATCTCTCTTGGTCACCGGACGTCCGAGTCAAAAGCCAGCGGGGAGAGAAACTATCAGATTTACACTTACGCGGGTCTGTTCCGTTAATGATGGATTCAGGAGCTGAGGAGATAATCTAGAGCCCTGTCAATTTTCAACGGAGGCTCGCAAGCTCGTTGATTGCTCCAGTGATCGCCAGCCAACCCACTTCCCCGCAACAACGTCAATCCACGATGTAACTCTATGGCTCGGAAACTCAACCGCAATCGGGACAGCCGCTCGCGCCCCTCCATCGAAATGACGTGGAATCCCATAACGACCAAGCATCGAGGCTCTCAAGGCTTTGTTTCGAGGAATTCGGAGCCCCTCAATCGTCCACTCAACTGCCCATTTCGCCCGCCCCCAACGCTCCGGAAACAAGAAACGCCTCCCCGGATCTCCGGATGGATACAAACACCCACACTTGGGAGGGCATCGGGATGGTTCCGACCCTCCCTTCCCCTGAAATCCCGTGGCACCCTTGACTCTCCACCTCTCCTGTCGACGTCTTTCCCCAGGTTTTGATCTCCGCATTCCAACATTCCAGAGCCTCTTAGGCCCTCTATCCTTGACATCTTTTCATGTGTTAGATGTATTCCACGAACCAACACCGCCTACTTCCTCCATGGAGTGACCAGCACCGCTAACAGACTGCTTTTTGATCCCCTTTCCGATGTGCAGTATTGGAGACAAAGGATCCATCAACCGAGGCAACCCTGGTTCAACTAACTTAAGGATTGCGCGGCAAGCTAGATAACCCCTCAATTGATGGATCTAAGGCGGCGGACTCTTTAGGACTATTAATTCCCTGGCTCTTGATCAATATTTTGTCTCCTAAGTCTTCCCTCTTGTTCTTGATAATTATCTGTCACTAGAAAGTGGCCGTGTGCATGCAAAATGCTCCAATTACTTGTTAGCTTCGGGCCCCTTTATACCACGGCGCTCATTCTGGGCTGCCTGATGGGCTTGTTCGTATGCAACAGGCTCTATGTCGACTACAGAATCCGCAAAGTCGGCGGTGTCCGGGCTTCCGTCCTCGCTACCAACCCGTTCACAGGTAAGAGAGAGCTACCAGAATGAGCTAAGCACGCACCTAGCTAGATGCAATATGACTAACCCTGTTTCACTTCTGCAGGACTTCAGTTCCTCATGCGGGCCGCCTATTGGCAGACCCGCGACAAGCTAGACTACTACTATCGCTCCCTATTCAACTGGGCGTCGCCAGAATGCCCCAACTGCGTGGAAATCGCCATCTTCGGACGCGCACGCTTCTTAATGACACAGGAGCCGGAGCACATCAAGACGATCCTGACGGGCAAGTTCCGCGAGTACGGCAAGGGCGAGCGGTTCCACGAGATCTGGAGCCCCTTTCTGGGCGACTCCATCTTCACGACGGACGGCCAGCAGTGGTCGGATAGCCGCGCGCTGATCCGGCCGATGTTTGTCAAGGACCGCGTGCGGGACTTGGAGATCTTTGATCGGTGGACTATGACGCTCATTGAGAAGTTGCCGGCGTCAGGCCAAACGGTGGATATGATGGACTTGTTTTATCGGATGACGCTAGATGTGACGACGGATTTCTTGCTTGGTGGGAGTGTCAACAGCTTGAATAAGTGAGTCCGATTCTCATGACGATGTGTAATTATCTCGTTTTTGGCTAACCATTCCATCAGCCCCAAGCACGAGTTTGTGGCCGCGTTCCAAGAGGTTCAGCGTATCCAGATGCTTCTCACCATCCTAGCGTTTGTCTCCCTTCCTCTGATTTACTACTACCCTTCCTAGTTCCAAAGAGGTAAAGTCTTATACTAACAACTGACAGCCCCCTCCGCTCGATCATCCCCACCTACCGCTACAAGCGCGGCATCCGCATCCTCGAGCGCTTCGTCTCCCCCTTCATAGCCCGCACCCTCTCCCTCTCCCCCTCCGAACTCGACAAGCTCTCCCAATCCGACAACAAAGACCTCACCTTCCTGCACCAAATCGCGCGCACCACGCGGGACCCCAAAATCATCCGCGACCAGCTCATGGCCGTGCTCATCGCGGGACGCGACACCACCGCCGCCACCCTCTCCTGGACCGTCTACGAGCTCGCCCGCCAACCGCGCGTCTGGGCCCGTCTCCGCGCCGACGTCCTCAACACCGTCGGCCGCCACAACCCACCCACCTACGAGGACCTGAAAGGTTTGACGTTTTTGACCCATACCCTCAACGAGACCCTGCGCATGTACCCCGCCGTGCCGTATAACCTGCGCGCGGCGCTGCAGGATACCACGCTTCCCGGGCGGGAAGGGCAGCCGGATATTGGGGTGTTGAAGGGGGATATTGTAGTGTATAGTACGCTGGCGATGCAGAGGCGGCGGGATTTGTATCCGGAGGAGTGGGCGACGGCGAAGATGGAGGAGAAGGGAAGGGGTTTGGCGGTGGATGAGGAGGTGGGCGGGTTGGCGGACCCGGGGGTGTTTTGTCCGGAGCGGTGGGAGAGGTGGACGCCTAAGGCGTGGACGTATGTGCCGTTTAATGGGGGGCCGAGGATTTGTGTGGGGCAGAACTTTGCTATGACCGAGATGGCGTTTACTTGTGAGTTTTCTTGCTTTCGTTCCTATTGTTTCCGTGGAGATGGTTGTGACGCTAACATGTGAATGAATAGTGGTCCGGCTGCTGCAAAAGTACGAGAGACTCGAGTACCGCGGTGACTGGCACGGGCAGTTCCACAAGGCCGAGATTGTGGGTGCTCCGGGCCATGGTGTGCCTGTTGCGTTCTTCGAGGCCGAGAATGGCTCGGCAGTGTAAGAGTCTACTTCCCATTCGTACGGCTCCAGGATGGTTCTAGGATGGTTCGGCAGGTTTGGTAGGTATCTTGATCTTTTGTAGGCTTTCTTTTCTTTTGGTTACCGTCGTGTGTAACAACTCGGCCTAGTAAAAGCTGAACACAGAGACTTCTGGATATGACTTGGGTGTTAGGATAGGGACTGGGTGGTTTTCTCTTTTGGATTAGTTTTAAAGCTTTACTGCCCGCTGCGACCTCAAGAATGAAGGATTGTGATGTGATAACCGCTTGCACTAATTCCAAGTCAAGACGCCATGTTGTATACATGTAATTGGGACGCTGACAATCGGTACGTACCCGAGTCTACCACTCCAGCTATAGCGGGGGCTTTAACGCGCCATGATGATTTTCTCGGTTACGATTGAGAAGCCTCGACTCTCTTTTCTTCCTTTATTTTTTATTTATTTTTATGCGTTGTTTCTGTTACCATTTTCCGGCTACCTTCGACAGTTTCCCTTTTGGGATACTGATATCGCTTAGACGCATACTCAGTACCTTGCACCGATAGAGAGATAACCTTCAAAATTTCCTGCAGCTCAACTTTCCGTCATTTCATCGCCTTCCTTCATTTTCACCATTGACCACGAGTGAGGGTCCCATACCGCTGGCGGGATCGAGCACCAGCTTATTCAAAGCCCAACCCCGTAATAACTATTTAATAACCATCCACCCACCTCGCCGAATTCCAAGTTCCACCCTCCTTCATCAACTCTCATCACAAATTTCACACCTAACTTCTCACCCGTCATCACGAATATCTCACCACCCAACCAAAATGCCCAAACAAGACACCCCCAACGGCGACAGCCCCCTGCCAACAGCCCCAGATGTCAACGAAATCTCCAACCGCATCGCCCTCGCCATATCTAAACGCCAAACCTTGTTCTCCGCTCTCACCAAGCACCACCACCGACCCACCTCATCACCATCACCATCACCAGTAACAACTGCCCCCAACAACAACAACAACAACAACAAACCCAACGGTTTCTCCTCCCTCACCACCACCAACGGCACCAACGGCACCAACGGCACCAACGGCACCAACGGCATCAACGGCACCAACGGCACAACCAACGGCCCAACCCCCACCGACGCCACCGACCTCCGCCTCACAGACTCAGACCTCCTCTACCGAGACGCCATCCCCAACGCCGGAATCGGCTTTTTCCCTGCCCCATCCCCCTCCTCCTCTAAATCCCCTTCCCCCTTTGGAGAAACCTCAAGAGGGGAAACCCCAACAGCAGAGGATAAAGAAACGACGCTGTTGAGACGTAAAGTCCTAGGGCGGAATGCAGCGCGGCAGGTTGCTGAGCGGGGGGGGGCGGGCAATGCTGCTGGGGGGAAT